CCCGCATCCCTCGCAAAACGAGTTCAGTAGGTTAGATCGACTGTGTTTCTGGGGCCAGGATCCTCCCCACGTCCCTCGCATAACGAGTTCAACGGTTTAGATCTACTGCTTTTGGATGGCATGCATGCAGGTTGCTTTCGCATGGATGACTCTCGTTCTGGGGGCAAAAGGTTTGACTTACGTTTGTGGGCTACCGACAATAAGGTCGGTGATCTGAAGACAGAAACATCCGATATATAGGGCAAGTTTCCTCATGTGCTTATGTTCTCGAATGTCGAAGGGGCCGATCTCTTGCATTACCAGAAAAGTATTGGCGGTTGGCTCCTTGTCTTCGAGGTAGTCGACATAGGATGCATTATATGATGCCCAGGTAAGATAGATTTCATGTCTATCTTGCGAGACTAGGAGGCGTCTTAACGACACAGAGTATCAGTATCCAGCTGACAATGCCAAATGGAAGTCAAAACTTACTGGTTGTCAAGGGGCACTTTGCGTCCTGCGCGCGCATCCCTGCGTATCCAAGCAACCATCTCAGCAGATTCTTGCATGTAGATTTCGAGGCCTCTGTCCCGTCTTTTCCGGGGATGAGCCTTGGTTTCTACTATTGCGAATGCTTCGTCGCCGCCTTCAGGTCCATACAGATAGCCGTCTGTGCGGGACTCCATGGTAGCTTTTTTGAACTCGACTTTGAATGCGAGACGTCGTATGCCCCACGTACACTTGTTATTGGGGATATTCAGGGCTACCGCGTCGAGGAATGCCATCAGCGCCTGATTGACATATTGCTCGTCGCGGGTTTTCTCCCATGTCTGCCACACCTGCTCAGCCGCTGGTGTTAATCGAGTTGTCTCTGTGTGGCTTGCGGTAGACGCATCAGATGATGGTTCTCTGCCGGGCGTTGGGCTCATCCTAACGCTGGTCGACATTTCCGCTGGCGCTCCACCTTCTGGGACCTTATTCTGGACTTCAATTTGACATTTTCTGGCGCCCTGGAATACTCCCAGCTCTGTTAATGGAGCACTATTGTCTTTGATTGACTTTAGGTAAGCTTCGAAGAACCTGTTGAACTCTCCATTCCTTTTGAAGATCTTCTCCATATTCTGGAGATGCTCCTTCGGATCGCTGGATTCGGTGCATCTCGACCAGTGAGATCCTTCAGTTCCTTCCTTCGAGGCCAATAGACGCGGAATGTGAGGAACTGCTCGGGTGTGACGGAGGAACCTGACTGCATGGCTTCGATTGTGTTAACTGTCACATTATTCTCCTTACCTTGTATTTTGAAGTTCTCGGCAAAAAGTCTCCAGCAAGTGCGGCTTGCGGGGATGGACTTGAATTCAGGCATGATCGTCTCTAGGAAAGCGAATCTCAATGTCTTTTCGAAAAAAAAGTAGTTGGACTCTATTATAGAAACGTATCGTGTACTGCTAGAATTGCAAGTGCATGGAGGAGAGAATCAAGGCCAGCGACATTCGACGGCTATGAAAAGCTCTGCATCACACGAGTTTCCAGGAAACTCCTAACTCAAGGAAGGTGCGCAGCTACATACATGTTGCCGAATAGATGTCTACCTTCCATTCCGGGAATCCTAGGGCAAAGCAAGAAGAACGAAACATCAGACTGGCAAGCAACATGGGCCGGAGCAATTCGATAGATCAGTGAAGCAGGAGTAAGCCCCAAAGATGTCTCTTCCATTCTACCTTACCTGATACAGAGAGTATTTGAGGTAAGCCCAATAGGCATGCTAGCTAGATAACGCACAAAAAGTGACGTCGGAGCTGTTTCTTTATTTTCGAAACTCATAAGAGGGGAGTACTGCAACACCACCTTCTCCCCATCGTAATGAGTCTGAATAATCCTCGCATGTTTGGGACACATATACGATATGACCAACATCTGTCTGTACAGTTAGAAGAGCCCAGAATCAGTAAAGAAGGCGTATACTCACGGGACCCATCGCATGCTGTTCAAATTCCAGATCATACCAGTGATACATATGATGGAGGAGCCCACAGACTTCAGCATGGGTGAGGCTCGTGTCGTTCCCACGATAGTGAGCGTAGAGTATGATCATTGCGTGGGGCTTTGCAGCAGATTCGTCTTCGAACTTGGAGTTGTCGAGGTAGGCTTCCCTTATGTACCAGGACCCATCCCCAATCCTGTCCCCTGGGTCGATAGAAACACGGCCCTCCACGTCTGGAAAGAAATCCCACGAGTGCCGCAGTGATGAGAGTTCTGCCAAAGCCCCGAAAGGGGTATAAATCCCAGAGCGACTGCAAACCATCTGGAAGTCAATGTGCCGAGTGAGACGTGAAAACTCCGCCTTCCATGAATATTCCTTCCGAGCTGCTTCCTCTGGACTTTTTGCCCTTGTCGTTTCATCGGTGCGCTCCCGCTCGAGATCAGGTATCCTGTCGTCCTCAATAATGGGACACTCCCACAGGGATGTAGGCTGGGGCAGGAAAAAACATGGATTAAACTCTAAAACCTCCTTATCTGGCGCTAATTCAACCCTGATGGCTTTCAGACCCATCTCAGAGAGCTCATCAATCTCAAAGTTGGGAGTTCTGACGGAGGTGAGGGCTTGCCGGAGCTGCTGAAGGTGGTTGATAATGGCGGACTGTTTGGCCTTCATGGCCTCTCTACTCATGTCACGACGAGTCATGGCTGAGGGAACCACGAGTAACAGCTTTTAACAGAGCAATTAATCAAACTGTGAACGTAAGATGTAAGTAGGAACTCATGAATATATACTTCCACCTATACATGAGTCAAAATGATGTCAACTCAGCCATATCATATATGTATTACGATCCGCTGATCTCAGTTTTACCACTTTTGAGCTCATCGACCTTAAAGTTTCAAGATTTCAAGGAATCAAAGACTCTGAGACTCATGGTTACATGGCTAATCATAGCCCAGAGCGTCGTCAATCGATGCGCTTGACGCTGTGAACAATGTCTCGAAGCAGCTTCAGTCGATGGCTCTTCCCATTTCCCGGGGCTGTCCTCATCATCTGAGGGTAGTATCGACTACCGAGACGCCGGTCAATGTGTATGTGTTTCCTGCCGAATGTATTTATTTCCTGCGAGTTACCCTCCAATTCTAGAAGCTTATTACCTTCCAATTCTTAGAGTATAGCATCACTATTATATATTAACCTTGTATATCGTATGTATGTATCATGGTTTCGGATCTTCATCTTGGTTGGGAGACTAGCGACGAATTGAAAGATGTCTGTTAAAATACTATATCACTATTGTCGTGTTGAAATAGACAGCGCAATATACCAGGTCTCGATGCCATCTCAGATGATGGCTCTTCCTATTTTCCCGGAGCTCCCATCATGCGAGGTAGTAACGACTACCTTATGAGCCGGTCAATATGTATGTGTTTCCTGCAATTCGCGGTGGCATATTACCTTCCAATTCGTACAGAAGAGCATGACTGGAGCAAGTGTTGGCAGTAGCCCTTTCCTAGTATTCAGAGTCCTAAGTAATAAAAGAGCGTCGTAGTCCGAAGAGCCCGTGTTGTTTTCTCGTCCCCAAAAATCTTAGCATTTTTGAACAGTCTTCTTCACAATGTGAGCACATACTTAGCATTGAGCTCGCCCCCAATCGCGGATCTTTGGATTGACATCAATAGGACCAACGAGACTCCCGCTGCCCCCGCTGCCCCCGCTGCCCCTGCGCCGCCCGCTGACCCCGCTAACAAGAAAAGTCCGTTGATTCAATTCAACCTCCCCGAGAAGCAATTGCAGAAGGGTAATACTAATATGGATATAGAGCGGAGGTGCCCCCGTTGTGGGAACTCCCACACGGGGCAGTGCCGGCCCTACTGCCACAGTTGTGGCTTCCGGCATGCCGGGAAATGCCACCCGCCCGCCATGCCCGCCAACACCACCACCAGCCAAGAAGGCCCGGCCGTTGTCTGGAACGGTGGTGTTCACATCACCGTAAACGCCGCCGCCCCTCCTCGCTCCACCTCGGCGGGCGGGGACCCCCCGCGCGCCAAGCCCAAGCCCGCCAACAAGCCGCGTCGGCGGAAGCGCCCTGATAAGGGCAAAAAAAAGGCCGCAATGGCCAAAAAAAGAGAGGAGGAGGAGAAGAAGAAGGAAGAGGAGGAGGCCGAGAAGGGTGCTGAGAAGCAGGGGGAGGCCGAGGGCGACAAGCCCAGCTCTGAGTGAGCTTTTATAATTAACCATGTATATATTATTCATGTATATAATTAATTTCATCAATAAAATCAGTGGTTCGAGCATTCCTTTCATTATAGGTAGTCCACCGTCGGATACAATAGCGTACGTAGTCCTCATTCTCAACGTATGGGTTGTCGTCGAAAAGTGACCTCGATACTCTCGACCGTTAACGGGCTGGTTCTGTATCGAATATGGAAAGGAAGGGTGAAGGTGAACCATGACATGGTTTCGGAATGTACAGTAGATATTTGGCCTTGTGCGGTGGACATCGTTACCCCGGATTCGACTCCCGTTCTCCGGCCTGTCTCTCTAGTTGGTAGAAGACGGCAGTAAGGGCCGAACGGAGTTGCTCCGTTGCTCGTCAGTAATGATTCTGTGGGTCAAGTGTGATTGTGATAGATTGTGCTGCCAGATCTCCGACTAAAGGGTGCCTTAGTGACGCGGCCTTAGACAAATTTACTTTCTAGTAGCTGGTATTGCCTGTTGGCCACGATCATCAGCCAGGAATCGAGTACAGTTGGTTGTCAGGCACAGGAATCGAATGATCGAATGATCCATGCATTAGCTGGTTGCAGCCCTCGAATATTCTAAAGTAAACCGTACATTATCCCGGTCATCCTTTCCCCTCCCTCGATGCGAAAGCCTGGAGAGACGGCAGATCGCAGACGTCATGACGAGAACATTGAACTCGAATCAGATCACGCTTGCTTTCCCAACACAAAACGCCATGCAATAGCATTCAACAACAAAGATCGTCCGGGAGGAAAAAAATAAAACACAAGCAAAAAGTAAAGCATCGAACAAATGTTTACCAGGCGCAGTGACCACCGTCGATGCGCAGATCACTTCCTGTCATAAAGCTGCTGGCGTCACTCAAGAGAAAGACTGCGGCACCCCGATACTCGTTGGGGGTAGACAGACGGCCCAGCATGTTGTGCTTGGGCCATTCTTCTCGGCGCTCCGGGAACTGGATAAACAAATCTTCGACCATTTTCGTGACAATGTAGCCCGGCGAGATGGTGTTGACGCGAATACCATGTTGACCCCACTCCATGGCCAGATTGCGACCGAGCTGGATGACAGCGGCCTTGCTGGCATTGTACGCGGGACAAATGAGACCCTAGTCAAGTTAGCATTGTTTTAGTTTTGTTGAGAACAGTAGAGGCCATGCAATGGATTTTTGACAGCCATGCGTGACATAAGTCAGAAGCGGGGAAGGGAAGAAACCCGGGGATCCCCGTTTCCCACTCTGGAAAGGAACTGATGGGAACGTACCCGATTCGCGACAGTACCACTCATGCTTGCAATTAGTGCAATGCTACCACCATTACCAAAGCGAATCATCTGCTTGGCCACTGCCTGGGCAGTCATGAACACACCCGTCACGTTGACCTCAAACATGGTGTTCGCGTCCTTGGCCGTGTACTCTAGGGCCGGGGTTTCCTGTTGAATTCCTGCTGCCGCGATCAGGCCGTCCATCCGGCCCTCGACATTGGCGATTTGCTCGACGGTGCTGGTCAACAGCTCCGTGTCGCGCACATCAATGCGACGGTAGTGCAACTCCGTGCCCAGTTCCTCCTTGGCTCGCTTCTGAATCTCGAAGAACTCGGGCGACTACCACCATCCAGCAAGGTTAGACAAGATGCGCCACGAACAAGGTTGTAGAACCAAAGTTACTCACTGGCTCCTCAAGACGATCCAATCCGTACACTTTGGCGCCGGCCTCCAAGAGTGCTTCGGCCTGGGTCAAACCAAGACCACGAGCAGCACCGGAGACAAGGACTACCTTGCCAGCCAGACTGAATTCTGGCATTCTAGCCTTGGAGCCCAGAGAGACGTCTGCCTGTTTGGTGGCAGGAACGACAGGAGTATCGGCAGTGATGGAGACAGACATTATGATTAGAGTAGATTGTGTAGTCGAGCAGTAATCGAAGTGCGAGAAATTTGAGTCGTAATGTAGTCGCTCAATTACTGCACAGAGAAAGGAGAATAGACGCTGGATAGAATACAATCGAAACCAGGTTGACCTAATGAGCAGCCATCCAGCCCCTTAAATACTTCACGATCGTGAACCTACGGATGAACGAATCGAGAAAAAGGTGGGTAGTACTACGACTCTAGAGGCCTACGCTCAAGCCGAAGAGCTCATGTGAGCAATTGAAATTTGGATAGTGGCCAAAAGAGGCAAGCATCATGGCTACTTGGAGAGAATGTCAAGCAAGAAAGTCAGCGAGGGAGTCTGGTTGAAGGAACAATGGATTCGGTCCAGACCCGGCGGGGGCAAGAATGCAATTATGCGTGGGATAGAGGAGCCGTTGCTTCTCCCACCAATTGGTCATTCGCTTGGGCACGAACTACACTAGGTTATTATTGTAGGCAAATGTAGGTTTTATTTTAACCTGACAGGTTGATAACGTCCTGTACAGCCATTGTACGCACGCTTGAGTGTGTTTTGATTCTTCTTGTGCAACAGATCTCTACAGTTTATTACAACTATATTTTGAGGGTGTCGTACGGAGGAGTAGGAATTGAGAAACCCAAACAGAATAATCCAGGCCAAAAACAAACTGATGATAAAATCATGATGAGGCGATGATACAATATCTCATCCTCCCCAATCCTGACCTGGTTTCGCTTTTTCAGGCTAAATGACCACAACAAAGTAATTGGGGAGACCCTTGGCCGTGGCACCATTTGAAGACTCGGATTGCCTAATTGAGTAATCCGGGCGGGAGACAGCCCGACATGTCCAGATGACTTGAGATGCCGGGGAAGAAACGCCATGTTTTCTAAGAATATTTGGGTCGAGAACGCGGGGGATGGGACAGCTTTTGCGGTTGGGGTCACGGGGCCATGGACTGGGCAGTTCTGGAAAGGAGAATCAATGCAGCAGAAGATTCTACGGGGGAGACTGGGTGAGATGGTGGTCACGGTCCTGGGCGATCGTGCCTGGAATGGTTAATAGCGATTAGGTGATTCATTGAAATAGTACTCTAAGACTAGAATGCAGGAGAAGAGAGCGTGATCATGTTCCAAGTGTGATGGACAGGTGGCAGGAGATGTTTCCTGTTTGCATGGGTTCCTGGACCTCTTATGCCACGGGTTCGTTATTGGTCAAATCTTTGTTGTTTATCCGCCATCACCACTTCCAACCTATCTTGAATTTACGCTGGAATGATTCATTTCATCTACTCTTCCATCGGGTTTAACTTTCCAGCCATCACCTTCAGGGCGATGATTGTTTTTTGAGTCTAAATCCAAGTTGGCACTACTGTCCAAAACTATATACGCTTAACTTAGTCTGTTTCAAGAGCATAATTCCTATCTCGAGTTAGGCCGTCCATATTCATTTACTACACACTCAGGTCTACAGCTTGGAACATCTACACAGATCATCCCAATATCTGACAGTAATATGCAGGACGCAATCTAACCTTTTGGTCTTTAGAGTCTTAGTCATGTCATGTTCCGGGGAAGAAACAACCTCGATAAAGTATTGTGGAGAAGTGGGCGAATCCACTTAAGCTACTTACCCTTTTAGGTTTCCCGGGAGGCGTCCATCGGGTCAACCATATCACGCAAGCCTAAGGCATACAACTGGCGGCTCTAAGGGGTATTCCATGGTATCTCTCTCAAGCTCTTCTCCATTCGAGGGAGGGAGGTCCTATTTTAATCAAGAATAGACCGTGATCAGGAGGACTTTGCATAAGCCTAGGCCTAATAAACTAATTCCATTCCCCACAGCGGTATACACTGTAGCAGAAAGTGAAAAGCATAAAGTTAAGAATAAATAAGCATTGGATACCAGACAGCCACTCATCACTTTTCTTGTGTTGTGCTGGCACACCTAGACTCGGGTATCCGCAGAAGCTTCTGGCTGCTCATGCCTTCAGGTTATGTTTTGCCAATCCCCGATCGAACGGACATACTGAAGAAGTTTGAAGTCGGTCTGCCGTACGCTACCTTGACTGGTGAGCGAGCCAACTCAAATGGCTGTAACTGAGTGATACATAGATATAACTAAAATTAGCGTAATTGAACTGTAGATTCAGCAATCAATTTCGCGATAAGGTGCAAAAGATAAACTCGGGACAAAGTCCGGAAATGTCAGAGAACAATGCAAGTGCAGTTCTAAGGATAGATTTGAAGTTAGAAATGATGATATACGAGAACTCCCCTTTGTGAGATTGAATGATAAATGCCGATATAGGTCGTTTTTAGACAATAAACTTCAGCGTTAGACAGATGCAGCTGCTGATTCGGCACGATATTCAAGGATCAAAAGACCACCTGTTGGATTTGATGGCAAATGCAATGATTAGAGACAAGTTCAGGAGGGTAGAGTCGAGTACAATACAAGAGTCAATGTAGATATGATGCCTGATTCAATAAACAATGCGAATAGGGTCAAGTCCGAAGATAGAACGAAAAATATATTGCTGGCAGGTCGCAGACAGATGCAATAATATCCGTAAATTTGGCTGTATATTGGAGGACAGCTCCTACAATAGATACGGTGTTCAAATTGGAACGTAGGTGCCATGTCCACATTAGACAGTATATTCAAGGACAAATCGACTGTTAATAAATGGATTGATAGAATGTCACTTGTTTTCCAATTGATTGAGGATAGACTGCATCGAACGTAGGTTGAGTCCTCGACAAAAGGACAGAATCGAATGACAGCAAGGTACCTGGTAGGGGTCGGGATAATATAAAAGAGACGACAGACGGGATTTTCTGCCTGGAGTCTAATGATAGTCGTGGGGAGTGGATGCCTTTCTCATTAGGTACCTTACCAGAGGCAGTGGTTATCCTACTGTCCAAGCATATGCTCTTTTTGATGGTACTGAGGAAACATACTAAGAAGCTCTGCTCTAACTAGACATTCTGGTCAATTTCTCCTAATAGGGTCAATGACAATCTCAATCTCAAAAGTCTCCTGTTGTTGGCATGAAGGACAACATGGACAATTAGAGACTAGGAGA